AATGATTGACATTGAGGCAGCCATTGATGGAATAAAAGCCTATATGACGTTTGTTTACGGGGATCTTGTAATAGAACAAAGAGATTTAGTTTGGGAACGTCTTACGCGTTTCTCAACAACACGGAATGGGCCCTGGTTTATGATAGGTGATTTTAATGAAATCACCTGTCATGAGGAGAAGGAAGGAGGCAGATAACGCTCAGATAGTTCTTTTCTACCCTTTAAGCAGATGTTGAGTGACTGTGGTATGATAGACTTTCCTTTTAAAGGTAATATGCTATCTTGGCCTGGGAAGAGAGCAGGGAGAGTCACGGTTAGATGCCGTCTTGACAGAGCTGTTGGGAATGAGGGTTGGTATTAAATATTTCCACATTCAAAAGTAACATATATGAGGCTTTGGGGATCGGACCATCGTCCAATCTTAGCAGACATCCTCAGAAAGAAACCAAGGAGATCAAAAAATTTTAAATATGATAAGAGATGGATTGACAACGAGGAGCTCAGGCAAATCATTCTTGATGGGTGGAAATCACCTGATTTACCACCAGATGCAAGTATTATGGAGCATATAGCCAGTTGTCGGAAAGCCTTAAGTGACTGGAAGAGACAACATAATCTGAATGTTGAACGGAGTGTGGAGGAGCTAAAAGAAAAGGTCGACCAATTATCTTCCAACGATGACGCCACTATAGAGGAGATCGCGGCGGCTCTAAAGGAATTATCTGACGCTCTTAAGGTGGAGGAGATGTTCTGGAAGCAGAAATGCAGGGTGTTTTGGTTGAGAGAAGGAGATAGGAACACAAAATTTTTTCACGCCCTGACAAAGCAAAGAAGAGCGAGAAACATGATTACACAATTACTAGATGAAGATGGAAATGTAGTTGAGGATGAGGAAGGACTTGTAGCCATTGCTACAAGCTATTTTAGACATGTATTCCAATCATCTAATCTGGAGGAGATAGAGGAGGCATTATCTGAAGTATCTACGACCATCACATCAACATATAATGATAGGCTAACGGCAACAGTCACAGAATGGGAGATTAAATTGGCTCTTTTCACGATGCATCCAGAAAAAGCCCCTGGGCCAGATGGAATGACAACGCTTTTCTACCAGAAATATTGGGATATTGTAAAGGATGATCTAACTCTTATGGTTAATCAATTCCTGTTTGAAGGCACTCTGCCTCCTGGTTTAAACGATACAAACATATGTCTTATCCCAAAAGTTGATAAGCCTAATCAGATGAGTTAACTACGTCCCATTAGCTTATGTAATGTCAGCTACAAGATAATCTCTAAGGTCTTATGCCAGAGATTGAAAAAGGTTTTACCAGATCGAATTTCCGAAACCCAGTCAGCCTTTGTTCCTGGGAGACAAATATCAGATAACATTATGATTGCTCAGGAGATGTTCCATGCTTGAAGGACAAAACCAAGTGGACGAAACAAAAGGATGGCCATCAAAACAGATATGAGTAAGGCATATGATCGAATGGAATGGTCTTTCATTGAGGCCACGATGAGAAATATGGAATTTTCAGAAATCTGGATAACCTGGATAATGCGATGTGTCCAATCAGTAAAGTATAAGGTTCTTATGAATGGCCAGCCCAGAGGGAATATTGTTCCGGAGAGAGGTCTTAGGCAGGGGGATCCTCTGTCCCCTTTCATTTTTATTCTATGCACGGAAGCGCTCGTTAGCCTTCTAAATCATGCAGAGAATCAAGGGAAGATAACGGGGATCGCATTACGCGTGCGTGTCCTTCGGTATCTCACCTTCTCTTTGCTGATGATAGCCTATTCTTTTGTAAGGCGGAGCCCCGTGAATGTGAAGAAGTAATGAAAGTGGTCAGAAAATATGGACAAGCTTCAGGACAATGTATTAATTTTGAAAAGTCTTCTTTACTCTTTGGTAAGAGGATAGGACATGAGGCTAGGCAAGAGATCAAAGACACGGTCGGGATTCAGAATGAAGGAGGAAGGAGAACATATTTGGGAATTCCTGAGGACATAAGCGGATCCAAATGCAAGCTTTTTGCTTTTCTAAAAGATAAGTTAAGGAATCGGGTGAATTGATGGACGGGAAGATGGTTATCAAAGGGAGGAAAGGAAGTTATGATCAAATCAATCATGTTAGCACTTCCAACATATGTAATGTCCTGCTTTCTTCTCCCTTTGGAGATATGCGATGCTCTAGCTAGTGCCATTGCACAGTTCTGGTGGAGTTCGAATCCCCCTAAACGAGGCATACATTGGTCAACATGGGACAAACTATGTTTATCTAAAGAGGAAGGAGAGATTGGGTTCAGAATGATACATGAGTTTAACCTAGCATTGCTAGCAAAGCAGTTATGGAGATTAGTACAATACCCAGACTCCCTAGTAGCTCGTGTCTTGAGAGGCCGGTATTATAGAATGAGTTCGCCTTTGCGCCAGCTATCTGTTAGTTCCCCATCTTATGTGTGGACAAGCTTATCGGCGGCACGAGAACTACTTTTGTTGGGGGTTAGGCATAAGATTCATTCGGGATATGAGGTGAAGGCCTGGGAGGATCCATGGATTCCTACCATCCCAGCAAGACCAGCTTCATCAACTGCACCGGTTTTGCATCCAAATATGACATGCTTCAACATTCGCCATGTCAGAGCTTTGGGACGGACTGCAAGGAGATGCTTAGGAATCCCCACGACTGGCCAAGCTTCTCGACTGAATTGGAAAAGCTCTCGACGTTGCGGATCTGCTTCCCCGATTTCAAGATTTCCTATGTTCCCAGGAAGCAAAATGTTGTTGCGGATTCTTTAGCTAAATCAGCTCGAGTCTTTTATCGAGATCTTTTGTACGTTGGTTGTTCTATTCTGGTCTGGCTCCCCAGACCACCTCAAGCTTGAGTAATAGATCAGCCTTCAAAAAAAAAATGATATGAATAGATGTTGTAAAAAAAATGACATAAAGAAATTTAATTAAAGCGGTAACATATTATTATAAAATTATTTTATAAATATAACTAATTAGTTAAATAAAGAATAATAATAATAATTATTCAATTATTTTTGAATAATATATATTCCAATTTTAACTCTTTTATTTTATTTTTATTTCAAATTTTCATATTGAAATCCAAAAAATCCTTTTGAAACTATTAGTAAAACAATATTTTAAAATTTAATTAATTTATAATAAATTTTACATATCAAACATAAACCCTAAACTTATATTAATTAACTTATTAACTCTTCAAACATAAGTTATTTTTAAGTATTTAATAAAATATTCTGGTCGTTTAACTGCTGTGTGTTTATATATAAATGAGAATTCGGCCAAAAAAAGCACCAACTTTGCACGAATGGCCAAAAGAAACCTGTACTCGAGTCTGGCCAAAAGAAACCTGAACTTTTGTTGACTTTATTAGTTTATTTAGAAACTTACGATTGACTCGCCATTTTAACACACCGTTAAGACGGTGTTAACTCGGACGTTAATTGTTGCTGTTAGGATGAAACGACGTCGTTTAAGCTATTTGAAAATAAAAAGATGTAGACCCCTGGTTTCGAATCCGGGTTGATTGGACCAAGTGGCAAGGAAGTTTACCACTAGGCTAGTGGCACATTCAATGTATCTACTAATACATTTAGTTATATTTGGTACTGATCGAATATTAAAAAAAGACTTTAAAAATCTTTAAAATTTCAAAACAAATGAAAAAGAAAGAATTTTTTTATAAAATTAATTTTGATATTAAAATTAAAATAAAAATTTATTTTTCTTTAAAAAATCAGACGGGAACTTATAAAATTTAATTTTTCTTTTAATGTATCTATTAACACCTTTACTTATATTTGGTACTGATTGAATATAAAAAAAAAATCTATAAAAACTTTTAAAAAGTCTTTAAAATTTCAAAAAAATAAAAAAATAACGATTTTTTTTTTAAATTAATTTTAAAATTAAAATAAAATTTATTTTTCTTTAAACTAAAATTTTGGAAGATTTTTGATTTTTTTAAAGAAAATAAAAATTTATTTTAATTTTAGTTTTATAAAAAAACTCTTTATTTTTCATTTTTTTGAAATTTTAAAGATTTTTTAAAGTTTTTATAGAATTTTTTTATATTCAATCAGTACCAAATATAAGTAAATGTGTTAGTAGATACATTGAAAGAAAAAAATAATTTTTTTATTATGATTTTAATTTCAAAATTAATTTTATAAAAAAAACTCTTTATTTTTTTTATTTTTTTGAAATTTTAAAGACTTTTTAAAATTTTTATAGATTTTTTTTTTATATTCAATCAGTACCAAATATAAGTAAAGGTGTTAATAGATACATTAAAAGAAAAATTAAATTTTATAAGTTCCCGTCTGATTTTTTAAAGAAAAATAAAATTTTATTTTAATTTTAATATCAAAATTAATTTTATAAAAAAAAATCTTCTTTTTCATTTGTTTTGAAATTTTAAAGATTTTTAAGTTTTTATAGAATTTTTTTAATATTCAATCAGTACCAAATATAATTAAATGTGTTAGTTGATACATTGAATGTGCCACTAGCCTAGTGGTAAACTTCCTTGCCACTTGATCCAATCAACCCGGGTTTGAATCCAGCGGTCTATGGCTTTTTATTTTCAAATCGCTTAAAACGACGTCGTTTCTTCTCGATCGAAAACGACGTCGTCTAATCCTAACGGCAACAATTAACAACGTTAATTTCTTCTGTTAAATTTGTTGACGGCGTGCCAAATTGGCAAGTCAACGAAAACATTGTTAATTAATTCGAAAGTCAATGAAAAGTTTATGTTTTTTTTGGTCAGGCTAAAAGTTCAGGTTTCTTTTGGCAATTCGTGCAAAGTTCGTGTTTTTTTTTGGCCGAATTCTCATATATAAATAGTAATGTTTTATATTTATTGGTAGTAGAAAATGTGTTAATATAATTTTGAACAACTAATGTTAAATTCTTCTTGTTTTGGGTAATGATGTGGAGATGATTATATAGCGAGAACAGTTTAGGATAGAGGACGGCCTTTGCCAATCTCGTGGGGAAGGAAACCCTAATCATCACTCCGTTTGTTCGTCATCCTCTCGAATTCGATTCTGGAATCAATTCGATTAATTGGTAATCCGCCATGGACGCTCAAAGAGCTCTGCTGGACGAACTTATGGGTGCAGGTGAGTTTCTGACCCGATAGATTGTCTCTTTCGTTTAATAAGTAAAACGAATGTTTTTTTTCTGTGGGATTGGCAGCTCGTAATCTGACGGACGAAGAGAGAAGAGGGTTTAAGGAGATTAAGTGGGATGATAGAGAGGTGTGTGCATTCTACATGGTTCGATTTTGTCCTCATGACCTCTTCGTCAACACCAAAAGTGATCTTGGTTTGTCACCTTACTTACTTTATAACTCCTTCTTTGCCTCTTTTGTCTTAGCAGCTTCGTTTTTGTTTGTTTTTTCAGGAGCATGCTCGAGGATTCATGATCCAAAGTTGAAAGAGAGGTATGATGCTTGACTGATATCTACATTATGTTTAGCATTTGATCTCAGTATTCGCAAAAAGTTTTGACTTTTCTGAATCTGAATGTCGCTTCATTTTGAATAATGGCACCATAGAACTCTACTCTTAAAAGCATCAGTAGCTTCCCTACTCAAGAGCTGACTTTTCTACTCAGTAGTGTCCATAAGTCTAAATCCTTGTTTTTTCTTATGGCTTGGCTTATTTCAGCTTTGAGAACTCTCCGAGGCATGATTCCTACGTTCCTAAATTCGAGGCTGAGCTTGTTCAGTTTTGCGAGAAGTTGGTGTGTAATGCTTTTCCACTCCTTTTAGTATTTTCTTTCTTCACAGTACTAAGATTGGGAATTGGTTACAGGTGAATGATCTTGACAGGAAGGTAAGGCGTGGACGGGAACGTCTTGCACAAGAGGTTGAACCTCCTCCACCGCCTACTCTATCCGCAGATAAAGCTGAACAGTTATCTGTTTTGGAGGAGAAGATTAAAAACCTTCTGGAACAAGTGGAAGCACTTGGCGAAGAAGGCAAAGTGGATGAAGCTGAAGCGCTAATGAGGAAGGTACTATTCTTTCTTACTTTACCATGCTTTTCAGTTTTGAAGAGACTCAAGATACTGAGTTTTCAAGTTTTGACTACCATAGTGGATCTTGTTGAATGGTGTGATCTGCTTGATTCCTCCCTATTTACTTATGTTCATTAGTCTTGTGAACTGCGCGCTTATCTTTTTCCAACTCTGGTAGGTGGAAGCGCTTAATGCTGAGAAATCAGTGCTTTTACAACGTCCAAATGAGAAGGCACTAGCGATGGTACATGAGAAGAAGATGGCACTGTGTGAGGTTTGTGGTTCATTCCTTGTGGCTAATGATGCTGTAGACAGGGCTCAGTCCCATGTCACTGGGAAGCAACATGTTGGCTATGGCATGGTCCGAGATTTTCTTGCTGAACAAAAAGTAAGTTCTTGAACAACTACTTTGAATCCTGCTTCATGCATCTAATTATTATTTTTAATTGCAGACTGCTAAAGATAAAGGGAAAGAAGAAGAAAGGTTAGTCAGGGGAAAAGAATCTGATGATAAGAGGAAACCGAGGGAGAGGGAAAGCGAGGGTAGGAGGAGTGGTTCCAGGGAAAGAGAAAGACACCGTGATCGGGATCGAGATCGAGACAGGGATGGGGAGAGACACAGAGACCGTGGTAGAGATCATAGAAAGCCATATGATAGGAGATCCAGGAGTGGGAGAGAGGTTCGTGATCGGAGCAGGTCACGCTCTCCTCATGGAAGGTCTGGTCACAGAAGGGTGTCGAGAAGTCCCGTTCGCCAATCCTAGTTTCAGATAATCTCTTGTCTCTGTCTTTGGGGCCAAGAGCTTTGCAAACTCATGAGGTAGAATTGTGACATCCCCCTTAAGTTTTATTACCATGTGTGTTTCTTTTGGAACTGGTTTAAATACTACAGATGAAAATTGTCTTTCTACCAAGTTCACACACAGCTATTCTAAGAGTTTGAGACCTTACCCAATCTCCATCGGTTATTTGTTAAGATGTCAAAAGCGTTGAGGTAGGTATAACTTTTACATATTTCATTGTATGCTATAGCTTCCTTTTATGTTGTCTTTTGGTACCGTTTCTAGTTGTTGGGTATGGCTTTCTGATATAAAGACTACATAATTCAGGAATATCGGCCTCGAAAGATAGATACTCTATTGAGGTAACAAACATATGAGACATAAGTTATCCTTTGCTAGAAGTTGGGTTCAGTGTTGGAAGTTGTTTATTTTCTTCAGAACCTGCACTTGAGTCATTGAGTGTATATGCAGGATGCACAATAAGTTACTATTTGCTTTGTTTTTCATTTTCTAATAATTTTTCAACCATTCACAATTTTAGATTTTCATATATAATTAATTTTCAAAAAAATGATTTAATTAAAGTATACACTTCAATCAATTTTTAGGATGATATTGTTCGGATTTTACATTATCCATGATGGATAATTCTTTAATAAAATTACACAAAAAAATCATCAAAAAGAGACATACAATGTACATAAAATTCATAAACACAGTTTTTAAACACAGTTTTTAAAACTGTTTTTAATCTCTTAAACTTTTCATCCAGTCTTCCCTTTTTACTTTAGTTAAGATATACACTTTTTTAATAATATTTCAGTAAAAATTTCATCAAAAACAAAAAAAAATATACCTGAAATCGATGAACATAGTTTCAAACCTTTTTTAATCTTCCATCTTTTTCATCAGATCTTACATTTTTTATATTATACATGATATACATTACATCTAAATGATATTTCACAAAAAAATCTTTCAAAACGAATATGCACTACTTGTTTTTGAAGATTCAAAATCACCAATGGAGAGTGAGGAGGAGGAATTCTGTGGGAAGAAGAAAGACATATGGATTTGCTGAGATTTTATTGGTTAAGTTTGTCTTGTAAACTATGATGGTGGTTGAATTATGATTAGTTTATTTATCTGAAGAAATAAATGGATTTATAAGGTGAAATACAAAATAACTTCTTCAAATTAATACTCTATAAATTAATAAACACTAAAAATCTTTATAAAATCATATTAATTTTATAGTTCCATATTGAATTTTTGGTTCAGTTACTATATTGATCAATTAATAATCTCTATAAATTAATAAAAAAATATAGTTTTAGTGTAGTCCTGAATTATTAATTTATAGATGTTTCACTTTAAATATAATATTTAGAAATGCAAACACAAAAGGGTATTAAAAATAGATAGATAATGTGAATATTTTTTTCCAATAAGGACATTTTGAATTACTCTCCAATGAAAAACTAATATTAGTAGATATCATCATACGAGATGAAATCTCAAATACCATTGATAAATTGCAGGTTTGGAAAATTTCATTATTCATTGAAAGTTTTCATTGATATCTCACGAGGCTAGGATGGGAGTAGAGCGCCAGAAAGTGCTCCGTCGGATTGAAATTGAGAGAAAAAAAAAAGGCACATGTATTCTACATGCCTCTTAAAAAACATCTTTTGAAATAAATTCTTTTAATGCTATTTAAAAGTATTATTCCTACCAATATGCTAAATACTTTTACCATTTTAGTTGTCTTAAGATAATTAAACATAATTAAAAATGGTAACTAGGTTGTCGCGGACCGTAGTTGGATTGGCTTCAAGTGGGTCAAGGCAACCAGGCCTGCGTGGATCTCGGTCTTCAAAATAGCTGTTCAAATTCACTCCGCTATATATACAAGCTTTGTGGATTGTCCGTGGAACATGTGATTATACACGCACCAGTTACTTCATGATGCTTTAGGGCACTCCATGGCACATATCAGGTTGTGGATTGAATTGGACATGATTCATTAATCATTTTTTTACTTATTTGTTATTCAAAACACTAATTTGAGTTACTTTTGTCACATTCTAAACTTATTAATTTATAAGTAAAGATAATTGCACTAGATATTTTTTCATAAACTTATAACTTATAAGTTTATAACCAATGTTTTAGTTGCGGAATCCAAAAATTAAATAAAAACAAAGAGAAGAGACGAAGAATCTCCGGTGGAAATTTGTCGTCATCACCTTTGCCATCAGTTCCCTCTGTGAAACTTCTCTGTTATATTGACGATGTGAAGATAAGAACCAACGCCAGAGTTCTTATCGTCATCGCTGGAGTTCATATCTCTCCTAACAGAAGTCACAAAGTATTGCCTTCTTAATTCTCATTCTCTCGGTGAAAGTCACAAAGTATCGTCTTCTTCTTATTTTCTTTCGTTTTTTACGTGACAAAAAATGATAATATAGAAATGCAGATCCTTGTAATCCCGCATGATCCTTTTCTGCCTATCCCAAAAAAATCTAATCTTGCAAGATCTGCTAATTTACAGGCTACAAAACTTAATCCAATACCATTTTGCTATATACTTTTGGACCAGACTTGCGGTCTAGGTTTGATTTTGCCATCTCTAATTATAATTCAATGTTTAAGTATACCTATAGTTAGTATCTGTTTAGTAAGGTGGAGTTGACCCATTAGATATAGAAATTAGTGGAAAATGTGCACAAGGCTTGTTACACATTATCTGACGGTCAACTAATTCCGCTTATCTAGAAATTAGTGGAGAATGTGCACAAGGCTTGATACACATTATCTGACGGTCAACTAATTCTGCTGCCGTGGAAGCACTGTGGCCTAGTGGTCAAGGTTTAAAGGTTTTTACACTAGACCTGGGATTTGAATCCTATGCTACACAGTTTCTACACCAAGCGGGTTTCGATTCCTGGAGAAGGTGAATGACGAATTATGCAAGATTATTGGAGAAAAAGTTTACAAGAGATCTTCAGCATGGCGCAAGAAATACTGTCAGGAATGGATCTCATATAGCAGCTCAGGAAGATGTAGTCGGACGTGAATTCATATAAGGAATATAGATTTGTCGGCTGTAATATCGTCTATGTAATATTTTCATAGTTTATAATATATAACTAATCAGTGTTAAAAAAAATTTCCACTACCACTACCTTATAATCCTTTTTTAGTTTGAGTAATTCTTGGGTTCACCCCTTAGGGTGAACTTCTAGATTCATCTTTTAAGGTGAATCTCTAGGTTCACCAACCAATAGGATTACATTATTTTATATTCAATATCTTTAAAGAAAATAAACAAAATTTTGTCAAATTATATTATATTTTAAAAATTTAAAGATAAAAGTAAATAAAAAAATAATAGTAGTTGCAAAAAAGTAAAAATATTTTCTTTTAATATTATTATCAAAACACTAAACCTTAAATTGTAAACTTTAAAACCCTTCTACAAATCTTAAACCCTTGGATAAATCTTTAACTTTAAAAAAAAAATATTTTTAATATCATCAGCTAAACCAGAAATTCTAAACTCTAAATTCTTAGATTAATCATAAATCCTAGGGTTTCAAATTAATCCAAGGGTTGAGTATTTATCCAAGGGTTTAGTGTTGCTGACAATATTTAAAATATTTTTAAAAAGTTTTTTATTTGCAATTAGTACTATTTTTTATTTTTTTATTTTACTTTTTAGTTTTAAAAACAAAATATAAATCGATAATAAAAAATATTAAATATAAAATAACAAAATTTTATTGGTTGGTGAACCTATAGTCACTAGAGATGAACCAAGAATTTCGTTTTCTTTTCTGTTTTTGATTCTAATTTTATTTTACGCCAAAAAAGAATAAGAAATTCGAAATATCTCTCTCTCTAGCTTTCCTCACAAACATCTCTCTCGAAGTATCCGTTAGAATAAATTCGCGATTTTTGCATCAGAGAGAGTCATATACAATCTGAAAAGCAAAGAGGAGATGACGTTTCCAAAAACGATGTCGTTTCGCGAGAAGAATCCGAGGAGTCCCAAATCGGCACTTCGAAGGAGACGCTCGAGCTGGACCAGCTCATGGCTGAACCACCCGACGACGTCCTTCAAGCAAGTCGTCTCGGCCGTGATTCACTCACAATCGCCGAGATCCATCTCAAAGCCCCAAACCCCCACCGACTCCGATCGAACCCTCTCCTTACCCGATACCCTCCTCCTCAAAATCCTCCACAAGCTTCCCGAATCCCACAACAACAACGACCTCTCCCTCGTCTGCAAACGCTGGCTGAGTCTCCAGGGACGGCGGATACGGACTCTCAAAGTTCTCGATTTGGACTTCCTCTTGTCAGGGAAGCTCCTCTCGAGGTTCCCCGAGCTCACCAACGTCGACTTGTCCAACGCATGTATCTACCCGCCGCGAAACTCAGCTATCTTGCTTTCCCACAAATCCATTTCATTTCCTATATCTTCAGATTCGTCGAATGGGAACTTCGTCGACGAGAATCTGCTCCACAGTGATATGGTTGATAGAGGGCTTAGGGTGTTAGGAAGAGGGAGCTGCGACTTACGCAAACTCGTAGTGATTAACGCTACTGAGATGGGATTACTAGGTTTGGCTGAGCAGTGTTCTGATCTGCAAGAGCTTGAATTGCACAAGTGTAATGATAATCTCCTGCGTGGCATCGCTGCTTGTGAGAATCTCAGAGCCTTGAGGTTGGTGGCAAGTGTAGATGGGCTGTATACTTGTTCTGTTTCTGATATAGGTTTAACGATTTTGGCTCAAGGCTGTAAGAGGCTAGTGAGGCTTGAGCTTTGTGGCTGTGAAGGTAGCTTTGATGGGATTAGAGCTATTGGGCAATGTTGTGAGTTGCTTGAACAACTTACGGTTTGTGACCATAGGATGGAGGGTGGTTGGATAGGTGCGCTTTCTTGCTTTGAGAGTTTGAAGACGCTGAGAATATGGTCTTGCGGAAAGATGGATGGTAGTCCTGGACCGGAGGAGTTGCTGGGGTCTTGCCCTGCTCTGGAGAGTTTGCAACTCAAGAGGTGTTGTTTGAATGATAAAGACGGGGTGAGAGCCTTGTTTAAGGTGTGTGATGGAGCAACCACGGTTCTTATTCGGGATTGCTGGGGATTGGATGATGATTCTTTTAGCTTGGCTAAAGCTTTCAGGTATCGTTTTACATCTTCATCCTATCAATAGCTTCTTTGAGTTTACAACATGTAGTTTGGCTTAATTCGACCATCAAAACTTAAAATTGGTATTCATGTGCCATGCTATTATACTGGAATTCCCTTAAATAATGGATACATAAATCTAACAACTTCCATTTGTGCTATTATGCTTATGATCATCCTTTTCTTCTTGCAGGAGGGTTAGGTTTTTTTCTTTGGAAGGATGCTCAGTCCTAACAACAGGCGGTTTGGAGTCAGTGGTTCTGCGCTGGGAAGAGCTGGAGAGCATGAGAGTAGTGTCCTGTAAGAGCATAATAGACACCGAGATTTCACCGGCACTCTCATCTTTGTTCTCCCTTCTCAAAGAACTGACTTGGAGACCAGACACAAGGTCTCATCTCTCATCCAGACTCCAAGCTGCTGGGATTGGAAAGAGAGGTAGCAAATTCTTCAAGAAGAGATGATATGATGGTATTGGATGTATCTTTATGTGCACTTAAAGCTGTTGATGTAGACAAACTCTTTTGTTATCTCTATATTACTTTGTTGTAATTGATAACCTATTTGTAGTCCATGTTACAAAACTCTTATGTTTTGTTCTGTATAATTGTAACAAATAAAACTATTTTCGTAGTGTCAATTTCAAAATGTTACAAAAAGAAAAATGAAAAAAGTATCAATTTCAAATTATCTTTTTTTTTTTCTTTTTTTTTTTTGGCTTTTCATTGAAAAACGATTTACAAGACGTGTGGTTAGGGGGATTATTAGTTGCGATTTCCAGAGAAAACAAGTCTGAGAAAGTCGAAACATTCACAACAAAAGAACCTTTTGCCTTGTCTTCTCATATCTTGGAGAGACCTCATGGCGTCGTCACTCCTATAAGCTCTCATCACCATGTCTTCTTCTTCACTAAACATCAAATCTGCCACGTCATTTTCACCATAGAAAACATCTCTCTTTCCGGCGTCAACTAAACCATTTCGTCGACATGGCGACGATGCAGTAAGTCGTGACGAAGGTAAGACACCGTCGGAAATCGAACCAGCATCTCTTCCGATCATCTTGTCTAACAGAAAAAATCAGCGCCAAGACTTTGCGTACCTACTTTCGTCGTTTTCGTTACTTATAAGAAACTATTTTGGTATTTCGTTATATTAAATGAATAGGGAAATTTCTAAGAAATAATGTAAAAACGTTTAACGATTCTTAAATTTTGTTTATGTTTATCCAAACACAAAGATGACAAGGCTACGTAAGTAGAATATTTCAAATCATATATAGTTTTGGCGATAAATACTAGCAGTAAACTATTCTTTTAAACAATCTTAATTTTACGATAAGGATCATGATTGTATGAATTTTAAACAAACCAAGTCGTCGGTTTACATCCATTCCTCATTAAGTCAATACAAAACAGAACAAAACATGACCTTGAATCTGGTTGCAACATTGAGTTCTACAATGGCCGCATCTCGAGCTCAGAACCATGGTGTGAAACCGGGACAGAATCATTAGAGGCACTCATCTCTTGGACCGGCGGCGGGTTAACCACGGTCATGGGCATCACAAAGTTGTCGGAAAGACGGTTCTTCATCTCACGGTGCTCTTGACAAACCGCACAGAAATGGAGACAACAATGCACCATACATGGGTCACACGGAGAGTTCTGTTTAATTCAAACAAACACACATTTTTTTTTCAAATTCTTTTGCCGGAGGAATCGTTTAGTAAACTTGGGAGTTTACCTGGAGATGATATTTCCTCTGGAGAGTTTGCCTGACGTTTCCGGTGTATATCCCACACATCCACCAAACAAACAACAAGCCTTCCCACATAAGAAATGTTGTATGCGGATCTATACCGGGAGCACAAGCAGCTATGGATGCGACTGTAAGACCACCTTCAACTACAATGGAATGGCAAATACATGCTTTGGTCCACGAGGTTTCTTCGTCACTCAGAGTTTCATAGACACGTCCGAAAAGAACACTTGGGCAAAAGAGTCCCTGCCAAACTGTGTATATGGAAGTAAGTTAAGGTCTCCAAGAAAATGCACTTAATTCTAGTCACATGAATCACTTTATAATGAGAACTTACAACTACTCATGTCCTCAGTGCACCCGAATATTCCAGTAGTCCATGGCTCATCTGCAGGAGCTTCAAAATTCTCAGGCAAAGCTTGGCCACACTCGTTGCATTTGTGAACAGTTAGCTGCGGAACATGTAAAACCAGACAAGATTTCACAGATCCAAATATAGCACGAAAACACTAATCAATCTAGCATGTAATCTGACAGAAACAGCAGTAAGAAACTCCAAAAAAAAAAAAAAACAGAAAAAAACAGAATCAATCACTTGATGAACATGAATCACAGATCTATAGTTGAAATCACCGAAAGATTCTCTATCATAACAAACGAATCGAAGAAATAACGGTAATCAGGTGATAGTCCTCAGAAAACTTAAGAAAATCAGATCATTACGCACATGAGGAACCTGAATCGGTTGATTGAGTTCGCCAGGATTCACCTCATCGACCGGAGCTTGCTCCTTTGTCAACTTCACGTATTTCGACGGTGCTCCTCCCTCCGACATCTGAATCCAAATATTTTAACGATGATAAAAATCAAATCAACAGAAGTCGAACTGGCAAACTAAAAGGAAGACAAAGAACACGAACCATGCCTTCTTCTTCTTGCTCCGATGGTCGGATCTCTGTCCCTTTTGACTAGACTCCGTTTTTTTCTATCGCATCGAATTAGAGACTCTGGTGTTTCTGTGTGTGTTTTTAACCAAACTGTTACCAAACTCATTAAGACTAATTGGTCTTCTTTTCTGTTGACTTACCCAACTCATTAAGTTACGTCTCAACAAACGGTGCGTTTCCTTCTCACAAATCTGAGACGCTTTTTCAAGCTAAGGTTGAGTATTAGCATAAGAATTATGCTTTCTATTATCCAATTAATACTTTTAAAAAAAACATTTAAAAAAATATTTCTTAAATGCAAATGTTCTCCAAATGCTTTTTGCTCAATACTTTCATATAGAATTTTTGGGAGAACATTTGCATATAGAATATATAAAATGTAATATAATTTATATAATTACATATATTGTTCATTATTTTTAATAACAAACATAACATAATATATATTTATATATTATAGAGATAAAAATATTATTTAGACACTAATAAATAAATTATATAATATATATTAATTTTTATGATAAATTTTTATGAATATCATTTACTTCTAAACCAATAAATAAATAAATAATAATATATATATATATTCTATATAATTTATTTATTTAATAATATTAAAATATGTTTATATCCAAAATTAATTTAATTATTTTAAAATAAATTTTACCTTTTTAAATATATTTTATATAATGAATAAGATTCATTTTAATAAAAATATATTATTAATATATATTATAAATATAGAAATATTATTTTACAAGAAATATATTATTGTACTAACTATTATGATAATTTTGAAATTGTATACTGCTATTGCTCTACCAATCACTTTATTAAAAATTATAATGAAAACATACAACTCATGCATCATACTGCTTCTACAACATAATACTACTGCTTTATCATCTGTTGTACCAATCAAGAACTAAGTCACAACTTTAGCAAGCTTCCTTCGGAAAATTGTTATTTATTTATTTTATTTTTGACAATAATAAATAACTAAGTAACTGACCTCTAGACTTGAAAGTCAAGCCGAAGATGTTGAACCGACATATAACATAGATAAAGGGGAACTACTAGAACATTGTGCAAACTTTTCTGCCATAATATTTTGTGTCCTTGAAATATGTCTGATTCGGAAATTAGAGAAGAAAGTCTTACTACGTATGAATTCCTCCATGTATATAGAAAAGGCTGGTCATTCTTTAGGTGTCTACACTATCTTCACCAACTAAGAATAATCCGTCGCGAAAACTACATTAGTAAACTATAGGGTCTTCATGCACTCCATTACCCAATCAAAACCTCACATTCAGCATGGGGTGAAAGGTTTGGGTGCAAATTCATTACCTCCATCATAACTTATGATTCTGCCATGCGGAAAAAGTCATCTTTATCCGGTATATATGTCTTCTTTTCTCCATGCTCCATCAATATAGCATACTCAGTTACTCCCCGAGTAATTTTTCGCACCCGGTACGGCAGTCATCCCTTGTTGATCAGTACTGGGTAATTGTGCCTCTGCTCATATCTGTGTAGTCCCTTGCTGTCTATTACTGGGAAAACTATTATTTCACACCCAATAATTTAATAAGGAAAATTGTTACGCAGCTACACGAACTATACAGCATCACATGGCCAACCATCTAAAGTAAACAAATGTGGAGAAACCTACACGAAGTATATGTCGCACATAACGACATGTGATGATTAGCAAATAATTATGTGTTTAACATCACAAACCCATTTAACCGTGTCGGAACAAGGTTAATTATGTCGGAACACGGTTATGTGAACCAAAGCCGACGAACCAAATTGAAATCGCGAACCAAAGCCGACGAACCAAATTAAAATCGAACCCGGTTTAAAAAAAAATCCTCAAATAAATCAAAGCCTCTTCCTCTTCCCGACGACCTCATCTTTCCCCCTTTGTTCAAATTAGGGTTCGTGAGAGAGAGAGAGAGAACGAAGATTATTCAAGTGCAAAACAAGTGGATTGGGCGAAGAGAAAAGGAATTCGGTGAAGAATCTACTCGAGATGAGGTATTTCTTTGGATTTCTTTCAGTTTAAATGGTTGATTTCTGGGTCTACACACATGTCGTTTTGAGGTTCTAAAGTCTCGTTGTTCTTTCTGATGTAGTGTCTCGGTGAAAGTGAAATGCTTTCACTCTGGTCGGTTTAAAGATGAAGGCGGATTGTGTTATGTAGATGGAGTTGTTGACGAGTTTGAGTTGGATTCGGAATCTCTCTTCACAAACTTGGTAATGAAGATGTTTGAGAAAAGGATTGTGATTGGAAAGTTGTGGTTCAAGCTACCATTCCATGAGATGGGAGAGAGGAAACCTTTATGGGAAAATGTTGAGGTCAATAAGAAGAGAATGGAATGTGGAGGTCGTTGGTACAAGGAGCTCGAAATATATGTAGAAAGAGATAGGGATGTTGGCGCTGAAGAAGAGAGTAGGAATGTTGGACCAGAAGAACATGCTGAGACGGGTTTGATGTTAGATGAAGATGAGGCGGCAGACACTTTGTATGATCCTCTTGCAGAAGAATCTGATGATGGGAAGTGTTCAGAAGATGCCTTATCGGAGTCGTCAGAATCGAGTGATGAGGCGAAAGTTGTTGAAGATGATATAGTAGACCTTGAAAATGTGAACTATGAGGAACAAATACCAGACGAAGATGAGGTGTACCCTGCTACAGACGATTCATCTGGTGATGAAGAAGAACAAGCTGAGAGATTGGTGCGAAGAGGTTTACCCGATGGAGTTTTCAGCTTGAGACAGGTCTTCAGCAGTGGGACAGAATTTAAGAAGAATGTCATAAGGTACATCTTGAAGACTAGGCGTAATGTGGTATTTGATAGATGGGAGAAAACTAAGCTTGGTGCAAGGTGTGATGAAAAAAATTGTGGATGGAGGATATATTGCTCTGTTGAAGAACCGATTGGCAAATGGATGGTTAAGGTATATGAAGATGAGCATCAATGTCATCCTGTGGGGCGGTGCAAGCTAATCAAGAGCCCTGTTGTTGCTGATTTGTTTCTTGAAGATATAAGACGAGATCCAGAGATGAGTGCACCGGAGATTAAGGATGAAATGAAGCGGAGATACAACATTATCATCTCGCCTGCTCAGTCCCAAGTTGCTAGAAGACTGATTTTCGATAAGTTGCAAGCTGAAAGTGATGAACAATTTGCAAGACTTAGAGATTATGAGCATGAAATCAAGAGGACCAACAAAAACACTACTGTGGAGATTAACACAACTCGTAGAGCAGATGGGAGTGAAGCATTTTCACAAATTTACTTGTGCTTTGCAGCTCTAAAGACTTCATGGAAACAGCATTGCAGACCCGTTATTGGTTTGGATGGTACGTTTCTGAAGCACTCGATGCAGGGAATGATATTAACTGCTATTGGAAGGGACCCTAATAACCAGATATACCCGATCGCATGGGCTGTTGTTTCTGCTGAAAATAATGATAATTGGGAGTGGTTTATCCACAAAGTCAAGGTCGACTTGGACTTGGGTGAAGGTGAGGAGATCGCAATAATATCTGATATGCACAGAAGTTTGATTCATGGTGTTGCTACTGAGTTGCCAAAGGCAGAGCATCGCGCTTGTGCAAGACATATCTACGCGAATCTGAAGAAACTGCACAAGTCAGACACATTAAAACCAATGTTTTGGAAGGTTGCAAGCAGCTACAATGTAGCAGATTTCAACCGGAATTTAGCTGCATTTAGAGAGTTTGACCCCTTGGCATGTGATGAGCTGCTTAAGAGAGACTACCGAACTTGGTGTAGAGCATTTTTTAGGATTGGTTGTTGTTGTGCCGACACACACAACAACTTGACAGAGTCTTTTAATAGGACTCTAAAGGTGGCATGGAAAAAACCCTTTGTCAAGATGTTAGAGCTGATAAGGAGAGATGCAATGCAAAGGATTGCCAATCGGTTTGAACAAGCTCGTAAGTAACCTGCAAGGCATACTAAGAAAGCAAGAAAGGAGGTTGAGAAGTCGTGTGATGAAGCACAAAACTGTCGTTCTGTCTCTAGCACTGGTGGGAGGTATGAGATTGTTGAAGGAGATGATGGGTACTCGGTGAAATTGCACAGGAGGACATGTGCGTGTAGAAAATGGGATCTAACTGGTATTCCATGCCGTCATGCTGTGTGTGCAATCAGAGAGAACACTGGCTTGGTTGAAGATTACATATCTGATTACTACACCACCGAGAAATGGAGAGAGACTTATCGAAGAGATTTGAAACCGGTCAATGGACCAAAATTTTGGATTGACTGTGGAGGAGGACGCATTGTTGGACCACCTTACAAACGTCCTCCAGGAAGACCTAAGGGAAAAGCTAGGATCAAAGGAGTACATGAGTCACCCTCAAAGAAGAAGGTTGGTCGCAAAGGAAGGGTACCACACTGTGGTATTTGCAATGAGAAAGGTCATAACTCAAGGACGTGTCCCACCGAGGTATGAGACCTTATTTTCTTTACATTTCTTAAATGTCCTATATGGTGATTGTGTCTCTGCTTATTGTCTATTTCTTTGTCTTTCGACAGTCTCCAGAGACCAAGGAAAAACGAAGACGACTAAGTAAGCAATGTCAAGATGACAATCAAGAAACAGATGCAAGGAATGCTCAAGATGAAGCAAACGATGAAGCTCAGGAGACAGCTGAAATGGAAGCTGATTTGGCAGCTCAAATGGAAGATCAAGTAGAAGTTGAGTTTATTTCTTCTACTGCACCTCAGCCAAGCCAACTAAGCCAAGGAAACCAAGCACCCCAAGGAAACCTCAGAAGAAGCAGTCGCTTGGCAGCTTTGCTTTTTAGTTGAAGGGAAACTTAACCTTTTGGAACTTATTAGGCTTGTTTTACATGTTTCAACATGTTCTCGGGTACCTTATTAGGATTGTTTTTACATGTTTTAACATGTCTCGGAAAGCTTACCTTCTTTTTACATGTTCACGGCGGTTTAGGATCCTTTTGTTTGCTCTTTTCACATGTTAACAATGATGTAATGTATAACCTTTAACTATGTATTCCATTTTGAAATGCTTTATGTACTTCTAGAACATCATCACATTACTCATTCATTACATAACAGTATTTTAACAAGAACATCATCACATTACACATTCATCATTCGTTACTACTAATCACTACATAGAACATCATCACATTACCATTCTTTTAGAAACAGAAGACTCAACACTACTAATCACTAACGATACAAAGCAGTTTCAGAAACTTGTTCTTCCATCCAAGGTTTGAGTTCAAACGTCTCATCTCACCTTCAATTGCATTCGACTTTGCAGCCTCTTTTTCCCCCAATTCCAAACAAAGTTCCTCATTTTTGTTTCTCAGTTCACTGATCACTCTTCTATTCTCTCTAATTTCATCTCTAGCTTCAATCAACGCTCTTTTTGGCCACCCATTGACTTCCCCTTCATCGTACCATTGAAAGAAGTTGCAATGTTCATTGCCCATTGCCTATACCCAAAGAAATACAAGATTTACTCACTCTCCAAAACTTACTAACATATTAAAAAAAATTTGAGAAGAAGAATAGAGTACCTCATACAGTTCACAACTAAAAACTTTCTCCCAGGATTCTTATTTGTCCACGAAGTGAAAATCTTGGCGGGCAACCCACAATCACACATTCTCCTGCCTCCAATAGATCTGCTCCGCCTAAAACTCGAAGATTCAGCATGGTAAGTCATCGTGTTTCTCTGGTAAGTCATCCTCTTCCTCTTCCAATATGTTTCTTTTTTTGTGTCGGGAGAAGAAGGAGATAGATTTAGGATTTTAGGTTAAATTTAGGGTGGGTGGGTCGGATTATGGTTAATTTAGGGTGGGTTGGGTTTTTTTTTTAAACCGGATTCGATTCTTAATTTGGTTTGTCGGCTTTGATTCATGATTTTACTGTTCCGACATAATTAACCTTGTTCCGACACGGTTAAATGGGTTTGTGATGTTAAACACATAATTATTTGCTAATCATCACATGTCGTTATGTGCGACATATACTTCGTGTAGGTTTCTCCACATTTGTTTACTCTGGATGGTTGGCCATGTGATGCTGTATAGTTCGTGTAGCTGCGTAACAATTTTCCATTTAATAATCTCTGTAAATTAATAAATTTCATCAGTCCCAATTTGTATTAATTCAAAATTTGAAATTAATCAATAAAATAATAAGATACTATTCTTTTAGAAAATTCTATGTAAATATAAGTCCAATTAAATGATAAACTAAATTTTTTTATATATACATATTTAACACGAGTAAGAACCTATCATTATATTGTATATTTTATATTCACAATGAAATTATCTTTATATTTTCTTAACACTTAATATTCTTTGATGAAATTTAGTAATATTATATCTAAAACCACATTTAAATTCTATGAAATATACATAACACTAAATAATATAATAATATAATATCAAATTTGAAAAATAATAATTTGTCTATACATTAAAATCAAATATTTTTCTTATCTTAGAATAACTATATCTTAAATAAAAAATCTAAAAAATATATTTTCTTAAATTAAAATCTCGATAAATTAATAAAATTTCAAAATAGCAATATTATTAATTTATAAAGATTTTCTTGTATATCTGACTTATATGACCTTGCAAAAATATATCTATATTTTTGAAAAAAAAAAAAACTTCATATTTTTCTTTGGACCAAATCATACCGCAGTCGACACATCAGGTGTCACATCATCTAGTTTTCCTGATGTATATGTTATATAAGCTATTTTTTTAGAAAATTTAAACAATTATATAAAAAATTGACATCTTAGAATTTTTTATCGTTTTTTGTAAGCTAACAAAATTTAAGTAAATAAATAAAAATTTAATCTTACATTAGAGATATATTCATTATAATGTCTCGATCGTATCACTTACTTTTATGTTATTCTTCGTTATGTGTTTGTATATATATTTTTTAGACCGGTTAATTAATCATATGAATATTTTTATGTTAAGCGATTAAAAATTTATGAAATATTAACCTAAACTCTTTAGATGTCATGTACACAAAATAAGCAAGATTAACTGAGAGTAACAGGGCTGCAAAATTGGCATCAAAACAATATAACAAATATATCTCTTATATAAGTTTTTTTCATTATTTATTTGAGATTTGTTTTTAATTTTACTAAATAATAAATATTTATAAGCTTGTCAAAAAAAAATTATAAACCTTTAGACTTTCTAAAATAATATTTTAATAAAATGGTTATTTTTTAAAAAGTATTGCACATGTGGCATCCTCGATAGCAAAATAGCTTACATAACATCCACATCAACAAAATAAAGAATAGGTATATAATTTGAATTTTTCTAGAGTGCATGAATGTTTTTGCACGGTCATATAAGTCTGATATGAACTGAACATATCGCGATATGTTGGGTATGAAAAAAAACCGTTTTCCCAGCATCCTACCTATATGTCACGTCTTATCTATCTGAAGAACAAATGGGTCGGGCCAAGGAAGTTCAAACCGACTCTACTTAGTATTTTCTTAAGGTTTAATAAAAAATATGGCTTGTTCTTTTCACCATCCAGATGCATCATCTAGATAGAGATGGGATTGTTGTCCCTAAAAACATAAAATTACAAATCATAAAACGACCCATCCAGATGAATTTTAAACTTTTAGCCTAAAATGAGACCCATCAAGATGAGTTTAATTGATGCATTTGGATGGAGATGAACATGCCCAAAATAACAAATAATTTACCCTTATTCTAATAAATATTTATATTCAAGTTTAGACAAATAAATAATTACGATATAAATTTTCAAAAAGCTTTAAAATGTTATAGTTTTAAACCAAAATGGAAAAACCGCAAAAATGCAAAATATCAACTTTCTGCCAAAGCCACAAATTCACAGTTTCTTGCCAAAATAAAAACACTATTTCCATCCCAAAACACATTTTCCCGCCAAAACCGTAAACATACATTTTTCTGCCAAAATCACAATAATGTGTTTTCCTGCCAAAAAATATTTTTCGCTAAAACCGCAAAAACGCATTTCCCTCTAGAATCAAAATACACATTTTCTTGCTAAAGCCATTTTCCCGTAAAACCAGGAACTTATTTTCTCGTCAAAACTTTAAAAACACATTTTTCCACCAAACCTCAAAATTATTTTTTCCTGCCAAAACCGTAAAATCATGTTTCTCGTCAAAGCCACAAAATCAAAATTTATTTCCACAATTGCATAATTTATTTTCCCGCCACAGCCACAAACTTACATCTTTTTTCTTGAAAACCAAAAAACATATTTTCCCGCCACAGCCATAATTTATTTTCCCGCCACAGCCACAATTGCACAATTGCATAATAAAAATTATTTTAGTTTAAAGATAAAATATGATTAAACTAAAATAAGGGTATATAAGTAATTTCTTCTTAAAATCATCTAGATGAATATATAGATGAAAAAACGAACAAATGTTCATTTAGATGATCCATCTAGAGTAACTATTTGGATGGAGAAAAAAAAGTACGAACAACATCTGCATGAATCATTTGACCGGATCATCTAAATGTATCATCTAAATGGACAATTAAAGATGGACAAACAAACAGCACCATAGGTAAAAATACTTAAAGAAAACACTTAAGAGTAAAGCTACTTCAGAGTGACGTAAGTTCATTGGAGGAGAGTAAATCTGAATCGTTCATTTGATTTAATCTCCACCGTCCAGTGAGGAGGTGATTTTTTTTTATAAATAGGGGTTGAGATTCATTTGTAGATCATGTTTTCAATAAAGAAAACACTTCATAAGCTCTGACCGCTCTCTAAAAACATCACACTCTCTCTCTCTAAGTGCTGATCAGTTTGGTTAAGAGGTTCACTTATTAACTACAAAGCGTAGAAAAATGCTAAGACCACACGTTTTGACTTAAGTAAAGAATTAATCTGAGAAAATTGGATCAGAACGGAGTTACAAACCAGACAAGGGGAATTTATGTCCTAGAGTCTGGCTAAGTGAGGTAAAGACAAGGAAGTTAGCTCAACGTCCGGTGTTGAGGAATGCGGACAGGAGACCATGTCTACCCAAGCTGGAACACAACAAGAAAAAGTGTTTCTCGTGAAGCTCTAGGTGAGGGTGAGGCCGTGGGTGAGAAAAGTGAGAGGGTCGAGCATAGCGTCTCTGAGCTGGAGGTTATGTGTTTGGTGAGCTTGAGGAGGTCAAGAAAAATGCTGCCAACTTAGGTTCTCGATTCGTTCTACTCGCGGAGTTTTTGCGGGGTCCATCCAAGCCATACGTGATGACACCAAAGAGATGACGGAAATTTTTACTGCAATGGAGGAAGAAGCCACACTATGCAAGAGGGCAAGTGTGAATGTTGGAACTTTTGGAGGAACCAATGCTGGTCGGGTTGATCCGGTTTAATGGTGTGAGGAATGCCAAGGAGCTTGAGAATTTCCTTTGGCATATGGAGCAGCACTTGGAAAATCGCAACCTGGTGGATGAATGCAGACGTGAATGCTGCAACGTCCTACCTGTCGAACACGGCCATGCTGTGGTGGCGCAGAAAGAATTCAGAGATTGAGCAAGGTACTTGCAAGATCTTCCGGTGGGCTTTAACCCCACTTCCGTGAAACTGCGGACAATTTGAGTCGCATGCCACCATGTTCATAGGAGGTGGAGGCTCTGCCTCCCTCATTTTCTTCCCGATGCCCGAAATCATTTCTGTTTAAGATTTGTAGTGTTTTGGTTTTGATTTGTTCTTGTTGCCCTGTAACCTATTGACTCATTGTTTCTTCGGTTAGCCGGACATTCACTTTTTCACTTTCCCTCTTTCAGAGTTGAATGATTAATGACATTTATTTTATTAAAGAAAACTAAAATTAACTTATTATTTTTTATATTTGGGTTTAAATTTAATGGTTGGTGTTTTGTTATTTAAAGGGTAGGACGGAGTTTAGTATTTGATATACTATGGATTTTACCAGTTTTCAGCCATAATATGTATTTTTTAGATATTATTATATGTGTTTGGAATCTAGTTTAGAGTGTTTTCAGATCTAAATATGTTTTGGAACAATGTTGGAGATTATGGAGCATTATAGAGCTTAATGATGAGGAAACTCGTAGTTGTTGTAGAAATCAGAAGTCATAGTCAAGATTTAGAAGAAGTGTCGATCGGCACTACCTTGTTGGTATCTATCAGCACCAATGTGACTTAAAGTCCAAAAGATCTATATAATTACAACATTACCCCTGACTAAACTAATACCTACTATTTATGTGTTTTGTTATTGTTTAGGAAAAACACAATCTTTTCTATTCTTTTTACCACAACATATTATTATAGGTTTTTAGTAGTTTTGGAGAGGAGATAAAAACTCCTTCAGATATTTGCATTAGAACTCCATCATTTCTTCTCTTATTTTATTATATGCATTCTATTCAGATTATTTTTATACTTTTCTTAATCATGTCTGAGTAGTTTATCTTGTGAGATTTAGGATTTTATTTGGGTTTATATGTATTGCTGAGACATATAATTGCTAGGGTGATCTTTTAGGATCCTTTATCAGAATTTTACTTTATTGCTTGTTTTCTAAAGTAACAAATTAGAACTATGAACCTAGGATATTGATAACTACGATAGTAGGTTCATTACCTTAATTAATTATACTAAGCAAGGGTTGTTAGATGCATACAAAAGCTGGTCTAGATTAACTTAGTGAACATAT